AATTCAACTTCCAATAATTCCTCAGATACATATCAACATAAATTATATCAGAAACGGAGCTTAATTGCGATAAACGGATCGAATCGGGTGATAAATCAGTGAAAGACGGCTTACCGGGTTCGAATTTGGCGAAACGGACTTCGGATTCGGATTCAGGACGTCGAAAGCATAAAATATGACTTTTCGGAAATTTGGAATTTTTGGTCAAAATCAAAGTCAACGGGTTTGACCGACAATTTCGAGGCCTTCGGGTTCGAATTTCGAAAAACGGACAGCGGATTCGGATTTGGGACGTCGAAAAATGTTAGGATAGGTATACTCGGTCGAAGTCAAAGGTCGTTTAATGCCCGATCAAAGCCGGTCAAAGTTTTGGTCAACAATGGTCAACGCCGGTCAACGGTCAACGGGTCAACGGGTCAACGGGTCGGGTCGGGTCAACTGGTCGGATAAACGGGTCGGGTAAACGGGTCGGGTTATGACCGGTCAAACCGGTCAACTATCCACCAAAACCGGTCAAACCGGTTACTTTTGTCTTCCCCACGCGCAGTGGCGGCGCGTGGGGGCGCGTGAACAGTGGTAAAATCCCGGAAAAATTTCTAAAAATTATTTTGAGCGATTTCGAGATACTTACAAAGCTCGGTTCACAATTTTGAACGGCGGAGAGCTCGATTTCAACAAATCGGAAAGTTTGACCGGTTCACCTCCCAACGCGCCGCCGCCGCCGGAGAAAAAAGAGAACACCGGTGGACTCGGAACGGCACAAGGAACACGATGGTGCGGGAGGTGTCGTAAACGGATGACCCGATCGTCTTGATTCGATGAAAAACCAACTAAAACCGAGTTATTACCGACGATACTTCCGACTGAAATTCACGACGAACGACGATGATTCACGATGAAAGGTTTGAGGGGTTTTTGTTCCTCGGTTGACAACGAACACGATGGTGGTTTCGGCTCGTCGTTTGGAGGTCGGACGACGAGTAGATCGGAGTTGGAAGCTGGGTTGTTGGAGAGGGGAAAACTGGAAAATATGCATCTGCGCACGGGGAGAAGAGATTTATAATTCAACATATATCAACAATGGGTAAACCAAGAGTTTAGCCACTGAACTTTATGCACTTCATAAAACGGTCTGCCAACTTTGAAATCTTATAATTTAATACCCGATTCATTCCAAAAAATACCAATTAAATTCATCACTTTATAATTTCTTAAATTTAGCCCCTAAATTGGGGTGTTACAATTAAGTTCTCTTCACCAATAATTTTCGAAATTACATCATCCTTCCATTATTGAAAACTAAATTTTAATCATTTACGTTATTAATTTCTCAAAATTTCGTCACTTAATCGATGACCGGACGTGTTAAAAATGATTAATTTTTAATTTAACTCTTAAACTTTAGAGAAAATATTAATCTAGTCATAAACTTGTTTCTCACCTCAAAAGATCCTAAAAACTCTTTTACCTCGGAATTCAGTCAAAGTTTTCAATCGTATGCAATCGCTCGCCACTATCGATCTTCGTCAACAGTGACTGTTATACTCTTAAAAATTCTAATTCATCTTTTCTAACCTCTTGAATACAAATTTAGTGTCCGTTGCACCGAAAAAATCAATAACTCCACAAATCTAACCTAGAATCTTTCCAATCTCCCCAAATCTATCGTCAAATCATGTCAATTTCAAATTATACTGTTCCACTTCCCAACACGCTTCGTTTGATCATTGAGATTAGTCGAAATATCATCGGAGTTATATTTTAATAATAAATATGGTGACATGTTTTCTAAATTGTTCTTGTCTGATTCTTGGGCATGATTGTTGCATTTGTCCTACCACCATTGTTTATTATTTCATGCATGTATTTTAAATAATTGCAATCCATCGAATATTTTCGGTGAAAGAAAACGACCGTCTTGCACTAGGGGACCAGAAAAGGTGATTTTATATTTATCTTTTTTTTTTTTAATTTTCCTTCAATAGAAACACTGTTAACCATTTCATAGTTTATTCATGCAAATGGTGAACAATAAAATAAAAAGTAATTAATGATAAACCCACAAACTAAAATATAAAGTATGTTTGTTTCATTGTAATTAATTTTTTAGACAAATACTTTTATGTTTTTCGATGTTTGGTTGAAGTAAAATGAACGATGAATATAAAATCAATTATAAGTTAATGAAAAAAAAACTAATCAACATAAAATGATTTACCGTATCATACCACTTAACTATTTAAATGATGTTAATCAAGTCACATTCTGTTAACATTTAATGAAAGTGAAACGTGGTAGTTAACAAAATTGGTATAATTAAATTTTGGTCCTCAATTATACATTTTATCAATTTGGTCCTAGTTTTGATTTTATTCAATAAATATAATTTTCCAATCAGATGGTGACACGCCAATACTTTCGTTAAAATTAAGACTAACTTGATAGAATTTATAAATATTGAGGACTAAGCATGTAATTATATTAATTTTATTCATTGTCACGTCAACACTCCCGTTAAATGTTAATGGAAGGTGGCTTGATTGACCTCATTTAAATAATCAAGTGATTTGAATTCAAGGACAGAGCTAGTATCAAATGATAGGAGGGGGAAATAGTTTATATCAAAAGAACAATAATCTATTAAGTATTTAAATATAAAAATTGGGGGCGGGGAAGACCTTATTTAACTAATATTAAAACTAAAAATGACCTAAAATGCTATTATACCAAAAAGTTTGGGAGGGCTAATAGCCCCTCCCAAGCACCATGTAGATTCTACCCTAGGTTTGATTGATAAAGTTAAAAGATCGGTTGTCAAAATGAAAAACGTGCAAAAGTTAAATAGTAATAGATATAGTTTATCCGAACAATTTTAGTGAGTAATTTTGTTCAAAAAAATTATACTGATGTCAACACACCTTTTCGTCCTACTAGGATTCAAACTCTTAAAAATATGATAGAATTTTGTTATGATTCAAACTCCTAAAAATAGGATAGAGTTATACTATTATTTAAACTCCTAAAGATAGGATCTACAAGCATTATAAATAGTCATTGTAACTCACTATTGTAACACATTCGGAGGAGGATATACGAAATACCAAGCAAAAAATTACAAGCAACTCGTAGCCATTTTTCAAAGCATTTATATTTTGAAATGTAAAGGTCATACCTTCGCGTGTTATTTTTCCTTACCCTTGCTGTGTTTTGATTTCGAAAGAAAACTGAGAGAAGTGTTTTTGGCCGATGAACGGGGGAGTTTTCGAGATCTATTTTTGTAGATCTAGTCCCAGAGGCTTGTGTTTTTGAAAAACTATTCGGATTTTTATAAACGGGTCGTGTGGATCCGCGTGTTTTATCATTTTTTTCTTCGATTGGCTTTTAATTTTGACCCCTAATTCTTTTTTTATTTTAATTTAACCCTTATTATTTATATGTATATATGTATATATTTTATTTATTTATTTATTATAATTTTTTTCATTTTTCTTTGTGTTATATTATATTAGTTTCCTATTATTATATATATATATATTATATTATTATTATTTTTATCTATGTTTACTTATTTTCTATGTTTTTTTACTATATTTTCCTAACGTTATATATATTCTTACTTTATTTTATTTTATATTTCTATGATTACTATTTTTTTAGTTAATATTATATGTATATTTATTTTTCATTTATTTATTATTATTATTACTATTTAGTATTTTATTATATTATACATACATTTTTATATTTTTATATATATTTTTTATTATTTTATTTATACTATTTATTTATTTTCATTATATTTTTAATTTCTTTGCTCTTATTATTATTTTTCTTTTTAAAAAAAAACACTTTACCTTTTTTATTCTTTTTGTATATATATTTTATCTTCATTTATTTTATTTTATTCAATTTCATTTTTTTTCATCCAATTATTTTATGTTTATTATTATTGGTTTCATTTATTTCCTTGGTTTACTCTTTAGTTTTGTTACTTTCTTTTATTATTATTATTTTCTTTTAAAATCTTATTTTTTAAGGGTATTTCCGTAAACTCATTAAGGGTAAGTAATTCAGATCAAATTTTACCTTTTAATTTAACTTGCAATTTTCTTAATCAAAGACAACTGGAAATTACGTAGTACCGAAAGGACGGTTCAAGGGTGCTAATCCTTCCTTGACCGTAACCGACTCCTGAACCCGACACATCTTTGGAAAGACGCAGATCAGGTAAGAAATAGGGTATCCGATCAACCGAAAGACGAAGCCCAATTCCGGGGCGACTCCAATTCACATTTTTCAAATCGAAGCCCAATTCCGGGGCCCAACCGAAAGACGGTTGCGACAACTGAGAACCGCAAATCAGAGATGAGTGACGTGAGAAACTATCCATGAATTCAAAAATCGTATATCCAAATTCAATCTGAGGGTCCATAGCAAGGAAGATCAACATGATTACAAAGAAGCGTCATTTTGACCAGTCGTGACATTGTCAGATCCAATTCTAAGAAAATTTAAAATAAAAGGAACGACCAAACGACCGAGAAAGAAGATGAAAAAAGTACTATAAAGACACAGAAATGACGTACCATAAAAATCAAATTATTTTTGTTAAAAAATGTTCATCCTAACCAACATCAAAACCAGTACTGTCACCAACTAAACAACTTTAAAAACGTTAATATAATTAATCCAATCTATATAAAAAAAGGAATCATGCATTAAAGAGAAAAAAATGAGAAAGTGGCTTGTTTTTTAAACAATTCCAAGACATCAATATATTCGGAAAGGGCGCATGATAAGGAAATGCTCTGGGTACAAGTTAGCAGGTCTATTGGCGCCCGAGTTTCCTGTTGATTCTCCGACGGTCGTTCTCCGTTTTCTTCACTCTCTATTCTGTTGTTGGGTTTCTCTTTTTCCATTTCATTCTCCAAATGGTTGGACAAAACTATTCAAAGATTCATAATCCCAAGACCTAGTTTTCTTTCCCCCAAATGTTCGCGATGGAAACCCGATTGTCCATCATCTCCCAGAAATCTTTGATTCTGGAATTTCCGCGTGGAATCTATCCCTGGTGGGTCAGTTTCTTGGAGTCTCACCCTGCTTCACTTCCTTGCAAAGAATTGTTGACAATGTCTGGAGTAAACCTCTGTTGGGTTCGCGAGTATAGGTTAGTTCTGCTGGCAACAACCTGTTTATTTTCTCGTTTGATAGTGAATCTGCTAGAGATTGGGTCATTGTTAACGGTTCATGGCACATTCATAACAAAACCCTTATCCTCCGTAAATAGGAACCAAACTTGAAGACCTTAAACCTTGACTTAACAAAAATCCCAGTCTGGGTTCATCTCTTCAATACACCCTTAGAACTCTTCACTCGATTAGGGCTTAGTTACATTGCTAGTGCCATTAGAGTTCCACTCTCAATGGATACTATCATTGCTGCTAAGATTAGGCTTGAATTTGTGAACATTCCAAAGTTCATTGAAGTAGAGCTTAAAAATGGCCAAAAAACCTCGATCAAGGTTGAGGTACCTTGGATCCTGCCTTCATGTAAAAAAGACAAGGTGTTTGGCCATAATGATAAGGGATGCCTTCACAAATCAACTGCCATACCTTATGTTTCCCAAGCCTAGAAAAAGAAGGAAGATTCTACTTCTAATTCAACAGCAATCCACATTGGTGGTGTAGAAGCTTTACAGGAACCAACTACTACTATTACTATTGAATCTGATGTTATTATTCAGAAAGAGGTGGCACAAGTCATTTCTACTAACCCCTTAGAGCTTACAGTTCCTACTGCTGTTGAAGTATCTCAGCCTGTGCATCAAGAGAATGACAAGGTTGCTGACCTTTCTATTAATATAACTGCTAGTAATGAAATTACAACCCTTCAGACTGCTGAAACTCATAATTCTAGTATTTCTGTTGATAAATCAATTAGTCATACTGTGGAAGCTACTATTACCAATATTCCTACTGCAAATGCTTAATCTTTTGTTCAGGCTATTTTAGAACATGCTAATGAAAAAACTTCTCAACCAGAAACTTCTATAAGAGGTAGAGGAAGGCCTAAAAAGGAAGTTGAAAAGGGTTCATTTTCTAGTTCAAGTAACAGATTTGAAGTGCTCAACTCTGTAGAGGATTCTCCCTCTATAGAAGTTCCACCTAGGAAGCCTAGAGCTGCATCAAAGGGAAATATTGTTTTGGTTAAGGTACTTAAATCAAAAAAGAAAGATCAGCTTGATAAAGCTAAGTCTCACTTTGTAGAAAGTCAAAGGGGTTCCTTGGGAACACCATCTTAATGATCGTTAGTTTCTAGAACATTAGAGGATTTAATAGTCCTCTAAAGAAAAATAAAGTGATCCTTAGAGCCTTACAAAAGAAAGTGGATGTTCTTTGTCTTTTGGAGACCAGAGTTAAACTGGAAAAATCAGAGGCTATACTAAAATCTAAACTCTTTAATTGGAATATTTGCACAAATTATGATCATGCCATTAATGGCAGAATTTGGATGCTATGGAGGAAGGGAATTGATATTTCCATAATTCAAGCTTCAGATCACTGTATCACTGCTAAAGGTACTGCTTTTGGTAATCAAGTCTTCATCACAACAATATATGGTAGTAATGAAGGAATAACCCGAAGATAGTTGTGGCATACGTTAAAGGATGTTAGTAATATTGTTGATCATTCTCCATGGGTCTTAGGAGGAGACTTTAATATTTTCCTACATTTTCAAGAAAGCTCTGATCACGAGCTGTTAGGCCCTTACACTTCTCCTGATATGAGTGATTTTCAAGAGTTTACCCATGAGCTTAACCTCCTTGATCACCTTTATTTTGGGCCTAAGTTCAGTTGGAGAAACAAGCAACATGATCTTTTTCTCGCCAAAAAACTTGATAGGATCCTGATAAATCCTACTTGGGACTCTTTCTTTCAACATTCATTTGTGGAATTTCTAGCTCCAGGTGTTTCTGAGCACAGTATGACCATCATTTGGCTTTCAAAAGAGTCTTCTGAACAAGACCCAAACCTTTCAAATTTTTTAATTTTTGGGCTTCTCATCCTAATTTCCTTATTGTTACTAGAAATTCTTGGGTCCAAGATGCTCAAGGCAATCCCATGATGATTTTATTCTCAAAACTCAAAAGACTCAAAGTTTGCCTAAAGAAATTCAACAAAGACAACTTCAACAATCTTTCGGATCGTGTGAAATTAAAGATAATTGTGCTGGAAAATCAACAACTCCTCACGCTCAAAGGTGAGGATACCATTGTGAAAGAACTTGAAATTCAAGAACATATGAAGACCCTTGAAGAAGCAGAATCTTTGTTCCTCAAGCAAAAGGCAAAAGTTCAATGGATAAAAGATGGAGACAAAAACTATAAATTTTTTCATTCTATAGTAGCCTTTAAAAACAAGAGGGATACTATAAGAGTCATTCTTGATGATAGAGATAATAGGCTTGAAACTTTTGATGCCATGGCTAATGAAGTGACTACTTTTTACTATAAGTTACTTGATACTGTTGATCCTTTGGTCAAGGATATGAACCCTTCCATTCTTCAAGACCTCCTTAATTTTTCTTTTCCTCTTAAAGCTTCTCCCTCTCTAGTTAAGGAGGTCTCAGCTGAAGAAATTCAAAAAGCCTTATTCAGTCAAGATAATGAAAAAGCCCCAGGACCGAATGAATTCTCTCATTTCTTCTTCAAGAAATACTGGTCAATAGTGGGAGAAGATGTCTCCAATGATGTCAATTATTTTTTCTGCAATAGCTATATCCATCCAACCTTCAACTCCACAACTATCACCCTTGTTCCCAAAGTCCCTAATCCTTGCACTGTTAAAGATTTTAGGCCAAGTTCCTGTTGTTCAGTCATCTACAAGATTATTTCTATAATCATTGTTACTAGGTTGATAGAATTTCTGCCTGGGATTATCTCTTTAAACCGGACTAGTTTTATCCGAGGTCGTGATATCATTGATAATGTTCTCCTTGCTCAGGAGATGGTAAAAGGGTATGGTAGGAAATCCATCTCTCCAAGATGCTCAATGAAGATTGATCTTCATAAGACTTTCGACTCTTTGCATTGGAGATTCTTATTAGCAATCCTTAAAGCCCTCCATCTTCCTCAAAAATTTATTGCTTGGATTGAAATCTGTTTTTCTCAAGCTAGGTACTCTATTGCTTTCAATGATACCTTAATAGGCTATTTCAAAGGGCCAGAGGTTTAAGATAAGGGGATCCCCTTTCCCCTTATCTTTTCGTTCTTGCAATTAACTTCATTTCTAAAATGCTTAATATAGCTGTTGCCAAAGGAATCTTTGCTTTTTACCCAAAATGCAAGAAGATTGGGTTAACTCATCTCTCATTTGTAGATGATTTACTGATTTTCTGTAAAGGAAATATGGACTCTGTGGCTGGTGTCTCGAGTGTCCTTCATCAGTTTTATCAAGTTTATGGTCTTCATTTAAATTCCTCCAAATGTGAGATCTACTCTGCGGGTATCTCTTCTAGGGATATAGAGAATATGAAAATTATGTTTGGGTTTAAAACAGGTTGCCTGCCTGTAAGGTACCTAGGAATACCTCTTGTTACCCGAAAATTCTCTCTGAAGGACTGTGAACCACTGCTTGACAAAATTAGGCAAAGGTTACACCACTGGTCTACTAGAAATTTAAGTTATGCTGGCAGACTCGAGCTAATCATATATGTTTTATTTAGTGTCAGTAATTTCTGGTGTAGACAACTAATCCTTCCAGTTTCTATTTTGAAATCAGTGGATCAATTATACTCAAGGTTCTTTTGGAAAGGAGCAGACAAATCGACAGTTGGAGCAAGAGTTAGTTGGGACCAAATCTGTCTTTTAAAATCAGAAGGAGGCTTAGGACTAAAAAATATAACCACTTGGAACAAAGCTTGCATTATGATCCTAATTAGAAAGATCCTTGCAGGAGATGGCTCGCTCTGGGTTGCATGGCTAAATAACTATGTTTTCAAGGAACATAACTTCTGGCAGTTTGAGGATGGGTCTAATATCAGCTGGAATATTATAAGAATTCTCAAATTGAGAAACACTGCATACCCTCTTTATTCTTCTGGTATTCTGCAGACAAAGGAAATCTGGGAAAAATAAGGATGCAAGGGCAGAAAGTGCACTGGCACCGACTCGTATGATATCCTATGCACTTACCTAAGCATAGCTTGATTACTTGGATGACCATCTTGAACAGGTTACCCACTAGCGATCGCTTACAATGTATGGGATTAATCACTGCTAGAATATGTGTAAACTGCAGAACCTTTAACTAAAGCAGGGACCACTTGTTTTCTCAATGCCCCTTAGCTGTTAACCTCTGGAAATCTGTTCTCCATTTGAATGGTATGAACTACACTGCACTGACTTGGGAAGAAATGGTCTCTCGGGCTAGCTCAATGTGGAAAGGGAAATCTCTAATCACCACTATCTTCAAAATTTCATGGAATGCTTATATCTACTTTTTGTGGCAAGAACGTAATCGCAGACTATTTCAAGGAAGATCCCGAACTGTTGAAAATTTTCTCAAGGAAATCATAGAAACTGTTAGTATAAGGCTTAGGGGAAAACTATTAACAGACTAGATTGCACTAACTTCCACCTTTGTAATGCTTGGAGTATAGTCTAACCAATCTTTTGTTCTTTTGATTGTTTGTATTGCTCTTTTTTGTTTGATTGGTTGATTGGTTGTAACATTACATTGCTTTGGGTAATAAAATTTTGATTTATCCCAAAAAATATATTCGGTAAAAGAAAACAACCATTTTGCACTAGGGACCAGAAAAAAACATTTTAATATTTGTTTATCTTTTAAGATAAATTACACATTTAGCACATAAATTATCGATTTTGATCCGTTTTAATTCCTAAACTTTTGATTTTTTCAAAATCGTACCTTAAGTTTAGTTTTTATTTCATTTTAGTACCCTGTTAAAAATTTAAGGTTAATCAAGCTAAAAGTTTAGACACTAAAATGGATCAAAACTGATAGTCTAGATATTAAATGCGATAATGTTTTATTTAGAATTGTAGGTACTTGCATACTCAAAGTCAAGATTGGTAAGGACTCCCTCGTTAACATGAAAAGACAAAGAAAGAGTCCCAATTATACGTCTTGTAGGGTTCTACAATTAGATGTGATGTAATCAATAATCATTGCTTCCTCTTCTTTGTGTGATGATAATATTATTGGACTCTGGTATATGAGTCTAGAGTATATGGGTGAGAATGGCATAGAAGAATTAAGCAACAAGTGACTCCTTGATAGACAAAGCATTAGTAACATCATAATAAAATTCATTTATTATGTCCAAATCTTAGATACTGCAATAAGTTATAAGATTTGTCCTGTTTCCCTGATCAAGTTGGGTGGAGAAATGTTCAATGAAGTCTTCGTGGTCATAGGGTTTGAAGAGCCTGGGATTTTCATCATCCACAAGTTCACTCGGAGCCTTCACTAGGTAGCCTCCTCTCGTCCTCGCGAACAACCCGACGACATGCCGGACCCTGTTTCCCGTCGTAACGACGCGGTGACGAGTCGGAGACAATCTACCGTTTAACCATACACTGAGCGATTCTCCGATGATGACGATTATAGAGTTCGGTGAAGGCTTGACATCGATCCATTCGCCGGCTTCGGTTTGAATCCCCAATCCGTTAATCTCGTTTTGATACAAAAGAGTGATCATGTTGAGGTCATGGTGCGGAACGGACATAACAACTGGCTCGTTGGTGTTTGGACCTTCATATTTCAAGGCTCTTAGCTGATAATTTGTGGAGTCAATGAGCTCATCCGTGTATTTCTCTACCCCGAAACTCTCCAAAATCATTCTCATAATTGTCTTCTCTAATTCCGATACAAGTTGAATGAATGATACCATTGTTTTACTGTCAAATCCAGAGCAAATAAATGACCAAACCAAACAATTTTAATTTGGACAAAAATAAGTTTAATATTTTCAATTTATAGTAAAATAGAGGGATGGAATTCATAATTAGACATATTTCTAAATTACCTGAAGCTTGTGTTTCCTTGAGGCCACAAAGTGGTGGTGAGGGGCTCAAGGTTTTCAGCAACATGTGCATCATCAATCGATAAGCTTTCATGCAACCCTAGTGGTGGAGGGCCAAAATAGCCACGTAAGGGCTTCTCCGATTCGCAAAGCCTTTTTGTTTCTAAAGGCAAGTGAAAGAACTCTTCCATGGCCCTAAACACCGGCTCTCGATGCTCGACGGCTCGATCAACCGACGCCTCAAAACAATTGTACGCTTCCAGTGCTCCCATGACTTGAGATTTCACCCAATCCCATTCGAGGCTGCCCGGCTTTATCAAGTCTAGTTTTGAGAAATCTATAACTGGAATCTTTGCCATGTCTGTCTTTTATTTTTCCTATATGTAAACGATGCTTGAATCTGTACTTGAATGACACCTTTTATATAAAAATCTATGAGATTTATTATTGCACTGTGAGCTCATTGGGTGAGCTTAATCGTAAAAAAGAATATTATTCCTTTTAAAGAATTTGAATTCGAATAACTATATTTATCGGTGTCAGTGTGTGTCTTGTCATAAATTAAGAAAAGAGAAAATTATTGTATTGAAAGTCACTTGATGCGATGATAATTTGCATCTAGGGACATTAAAGGTTTTTCCATGGTTATAAGTAGGGATGGACCTAAGGAGGGCGGGTGTGGCGGTTGGTCCCTTAAAAATTTAAAATTATAATATATTTTAGATTTTATCTATGTATTTTCTATTGAAAATTTATTTTGCTCCCCCTAAAATTTTATAAGTTCAAGTTCTCCCCTCCAGAAATTTTATAAGTTCAAATTTGTCTTCTCTAACATAAAATCTTGTGTACGTCCTTGATTGTCTGTATTATTTTCTATCCATTTGCTTACTTGTTTGATGTTGATGAATTTACAGTTTATTAATGCGATGAGGTAGGATGAACAAAGGAACATATGAATAACTCCATGCAACAAAATAAAAATTTAGAGATTGGAATTGCATTTAGAGATGACAATTTAATCCGAATTCGATGAGTTTCGACTTATTCAATTTGATAGGGTTATTTTTTAAAAAAAGAGCAGGTTTTGATCAGGTTAGATTTTTTAAGGGTTGATGTCGGATCAGGTCAGGTTATTGTGGAGGGTGAAAAAACTCCGACCCGACCCCAGGATAATAATGTAATCTCATTAAAAATTTATTATTATTTTAATTAAGTCAATATTTTATATCGGGTTGGGTCGAGTCTGATTTATACTCTAAAAAATCAGAGTCAACTCGGAGTCTAGTGGAGGGTATATATTTTTCGGATCGAGTCGAATGGAGAATATAAAATTTTCGGATCGAATTAGATTCGGGTAGATGTTATATATTTTCGGATCGGGTCGGATTGACAAAAGAACGCTACGAAATGATTACATGTTTTAATTATTCTTGTCTTGACTGCTTCTTCGGCATGATGCTTGCATTTGACCCACCACCATTCTTTATTGTTTTATACTTATATTTTTAAATAATTGCAAACCATCAATATTTTCGGTAAAAGAAAACGACCATTTTGCACTAGGGGACCAGTAAAGATCATTTTATGGTTGTACCTTCCATATGTATCCCTACAGAGATTGGTTCACAACATATGAAACTATATTTATATGTACCGTCAAGAATGGGGAGAAGGGCAGGTACAGAGTTGTCGGCCATGTACATCCGCCCCTGGGTGAGCCTCGTCCCCTAGCTCTTCAACTATATGTACGGTCCCACTAATGAATGAGAACATCCCGATGAGTATCTTGTTCCCTTCTCCTTGAGGATCACTTGATGATAGCATGATGGTATTCGGTCATTACTCCATGCCTAATCCAACAAAAAGATGTAAGAATAGTCGGTGGCGGCGCATGGCATCGCGTGCGACGATAAAAAGGTCAGGGAAGGCGGTTGATCAATCTTGATGCTCTAAATAAGACATTATTAGTTTTGTTATTATTTTAAATAATAAATTCGGTAAAAATGACCGAAAACATCATTATTTTAACTGATTTTAATTACCGAAAAACATTATTTTTTGATCGGATTTTTTTACCGCCTTTACCTATATAAGTAATTAGAACCCGTTAAAATAATAATATTTTCGATCATTTTTTACCGGTTTTCTTATTTAAAATAATAACAAAACCAGTAGTACCTTATTTTAGCCGTATACTATGGCGTCGCACCGCAGAACTGCCCCATGGTTACACTATCACCTAAATTCTATATTTTTTTTTCTCTAGGCTAATAGGGGATGAGAAAATTAAAGCTCAAGTCCTTGAACTTTCAGGAATTTCAAAAATTGCCCTAAAATTTGTTTCAACATCTTGCAAAATGATCCCCAAATTAATTAAATAAAATTCAAATTAAAAGAAAATAAATATTGGGTGTTACAAAAACGGTTCAATAAAGCTCTATATTGATTATTGCCAATTGGATAAGTTAACTATAAAGAATAAATATATAATTTTAAGAATTGACGATTTGTTTAATCAGTTAAAGAGTATTTTACTTTACTATGAGATCAATCTTCAGTCTAAATATTATCGTATGAAAATGAAATAGTCTAAAATCCCGACAACTATACTTAGTACTCGTTATGGCTTTACGAGTTCCTAATTATGTTGTTCGGACTCACCAATGTTCCGGTTGTTTTTGTGAATTTGTAGAATCTGATGTTCCAACTCTATATGGATCAATTTTCAGTTTTGTTCTTCATTGACATCCATGCGTTACTCTAAAACCGAAGGTGATCATGATAATCATATTCGAATAGTTCTCTAAATCCATGCGAAGAACAATTTTTTAAAATCAGACAGAAATCACTCAACACGGATGAACATGTGACAACTAAGAACAAACATTTCAACCATACATAGAAACATACATCTCAAACACCAGCAAAGTCTTTGATAAAACATGGGTTGGAGTTCGGTCCCAGATTCAGTTTCACGTAATGAAGGAAATCGAAGTGGTTGAAGGACTTGTATTTGATGGGGTGAGCCTCGTACCCTAGCTCTTCAAGTATATGTACGGTCCCACTAATGAATGAGAACATCCCCAATGAGTATCTTGTTCCCTTCTCCTTGAGGATCACTTGATGATAACATGATGGTATTCGGTCGTTACTCCATGCCTAATCCAACAAAAAGATGTAAGAATAGTCGGTGGCAACAGAGACTCGGTGGGGACAGTCCTCTCCCTTGAAAATTTTAAATTAGTATATATTTTATATATTTTTTTGATAAAGTACACAAATGATCTCCTGACTATAAGGCATTGCTTTGTTAAGTCTCTTAACTATTAAAAGTTACAAAATGGTCAGTGACTATTAAAATGTTCCCGAACTTGTCATTTCGTTAAAAATTAATGATCGTCTAAGTTGGACATTAACCTTCTTACTGTAATTTAATAAAATCAATTTTTAATGATATCTATTGACACTGTCGATGTTTTTAAGAAATGGTTGGTCAACTTAAGGTTTAGGGTACTGACCAGCAATGCTTCTCCAGCCATGACAATAAAAGAAGTTGGCGATGGTGGAATATCGACCCATTGATCATCCTTCACTTTCACCTGCAAACCACTGACTTTACCTTGATGAAGTATAGAAAACAAAGTTTTGTCTGCATGAGGCAATAAACCTTCGTTACTCTGCTCCATCGTAGGCTCATTGTATTTGAAGTATCGAAGAAGATAGTTCGTATTGTTGCTGTAATAATCATAGTAATATCCAACACCATAGCTTTCGAATAACATTCTCGCCACAGTCCGATCGAGTTCCGTCACCAGCTCCGAATAGCTTTGAGCACTTTCACTAACATTCATCCAAAATTAAAATTTCAGTAAACATAATTTTTAAAACATGGTCAAAAAGAAAATCATCAAGTAACTTCTGTAACAGAATATCTCGGGTTCAAGTGATTACGTCTGCAAGGCATGTAACGTAAGATTTTGAACATATAATGTCTATACCGAAAGCGATCGTTTCCGGCAGGCCACATGAGATTGGTGAAACTTGCAGTTGAATCGAAAGATGTTGGATGGTCGATGGCCAAAGATTCGTAGAGTGGAAGAGATTTGTATTGTCCGAAGTATTCGAAGTAGGGTTTGTTGCTGGTGTTCTTCGTTTTTACCTCCGTTGGGAGATCGAACAACTCTTCAGCTCCGGCGAAAGCTGCACCGTGAACCTGGGGAGATATTTTCTCGAATTTCGCTTCGAAGCAGCCGTATTCCTCCAGAGCTCGCCGGACATCGTTGCATGTTGGTGCCCAACCGCTTGATCCAGGCTTTAGATTCTCATCGGAAAAATCGATAACCGGAAGCTTTGGATATGATTCCAACCCCATCACTAAGCAATTGATATTATTGTTATTTTAGTCTCCGAGTTTTTAGATGAATCAAATTGACCTTTTGAGCCTGCTACTTATAGATGAAAGTTCATTACTGTTATATTATCGGAGAACTTCTATAGGTGTAATTTCACTTTCGGAAGCATAATTTCTCCGTTAATTTATTAAGATTATTTCTAAAAAGATACGATGACGATCTTTGACAATACTTTTAATAAAATCTTTAATAAATGGTCCCCTACTATAGGGCATTACTTTATTGATTCCCTTAACTATTAAAAATTATAAAATGATCCATTGATTATAGATTGTTGCCTTATTGAGTCTCTCGACTATTAAAAGTTACAAGATGGTTACCCGACTATTTATTATGTTTCAAACTCGTCATTTTCTATTAAAAATTAGCGGCAGTTTGAGCTGGATGTTAATCTGTTGTCTGAGATATGATAGTCACTTGAGATTCTAGGGCCATGTTTTATCATATCTCAGATAAATACTTAACATCCAACCCAGATTGCCATCAATTTTTTTTTAACAAAAAATGACGAATTTGGAATATAATGAATAGTCAGGTGACCATTTTGTAACTTTTAATAGTCGGGGGACTCAACAAGGCAACATCCTATAGTCGTAGGATCATTTTATAACTTCTAATTGTTAGGGGACTTAACAAAGTAACACCCTATAATTGAGGGATCATTTTATAACTTTTGATTGTCATATGACTCAACAAAACAAAACGAAACTATAATCAAGAGACCATTTGTATACTTTACACTCATATATTTTATTGATTTTATGATCCATGCATAACGATCATCATTCTAGACTTGACCTAAACATACAAAGGGACTCAATGTATATACCGCAATGGCACTTCTGATGAAACTTCAAGCATCATTCCGCTAACTTTCGCTCCGTATCATTGATATTATTGTTGATAATCGACCGACCATCGATTATAATTCTTTATTGTCATTAACAACTGTATGTAACAAAAAATAAAATAAATAATTTTTGTAATATTAAATACAATAATTCTAACATATACAAATAAGAAAACTGGTGTATATAATATACCACGATTAGGGATGTAAATGAGACGAGACAGATCGCGAGCTATTCGAGATCGACTCGATCAAGACTCGATAAATACTCGAATTGAATGGACTCGACTCGAGCTCGAGCTCGACTCGAGTTCTTAACGAACCGAAACGAGCTACTCGATTTTATTTTAAAAAAAAAATTATTAATAATATTAATATTTATGTATGGATTTTTTTAAAAATACAGTAAGATTTTAATATATTTAAGATTCATGTTCGAATTTGAGTTTGAGGCTTCAATCAAGTTAAGTTTAAGAATTGTTTTTCTTCATTTCGAGCCTTTTCGAGCTGCTCACGAGCTTCAGTTCAGGATTTCGAGTTCGAGTCGAGCTTGAAAAATTTTAAGCTCGCGAGTTTTCGAGTCGAGTCGAGCTCAATTTCAGAGTTTTCGAGTCGAGTCGAGCTCAACAATACTCGAACTCGGCTCGGCTCGTTTACACCCCTAACCACGATATGATTCTCTCACAGAAAAGAAAAAACAATTTGTTTTACATGTCAATTTCATTACACCTTATCAATAATTGGTCCCCAACATTAATGTTGGTCAAGATAATAGCAACATGCATTACTTTGATTTATCATAGTGACATATTAGATTGCATTTTATTTATTTATAAAGCAGTCCATTCGTTATTAGTTCGGTTGATCATATCACTGTAATTAATAAAAATTATAATTTAATTTTATTTAGTTTGATTGAAAAAAGTTTCTAAGTGGGTTCTATACGTATTGTGATGTGTTTAAGGTTTCTAAAATACTAATGTCAACAAAAGTACAATGAAATATCAAAAATAATATATATGTGTATATATAGAGAGGGGATAAGTGGTATTTACACGTATTTGGTTGGGGGAATGTGAGATTCTCATTGTGAGATTCTCATGGGAATGGAATCCACATTCCTCCGTTTGGTTGGTTGGGAATGTCATTCCCGGTAATCTTACATTACCAATAGTGGATTTTTTAGGTATATTACTGGAAATGTCATTACCACCATTTCCTTAGGTATTGTTGGATTACCAGCGTTTTGGATTAAAATGCCCTTAAAAAAAATTTATTTTCAAAAATATTCTTATTCTGTCATTGAATAATAAAAATTCTACGAAGGTTAAATTACAAATTTATCCTTAAACTATTTTAGATTTACAAAAAAAAATCTATAATTAAATTTTTATATGAAATTCATGGGTTAAAATAAAATTTTACCCTTTCATTAAACCTTTTTATATTTTTAATTTTGTAAAAAAATTATATAAATTTTATGAATTTAAATTTTTTAAAGAAAACATATAAATATTTTCCAACTTGTTAAATATATATATATATATAATAAAGACAAATTGATCAAATATACATTCTAATAATCTTTTATTCCTTTAACCAAACACGGTAATCTTACATTCCTGCTAAACCAACCAAACACAAAATGCAACATTTCTAGTAATCATATTCCCTGGTAATCTTTTATTCCCACCGGTAATCTTACATTCCGTGAACCAAACACACCCCTAGTATAAAACTTTTAGTTTTACATTCTTTTAGGATCGTTAAACGAGGAAAAATCAAAGGTTGTTGTTAATTCATTGTTTTCTTTCCGGTGAATATTTTCTTGTTTTCCATTATTAATTTTAGTTTTTGATTTCTTCTCGTCCAACGATCCTATAAAGATGTAAAATTTATTAGTTTTATGTAATGTAAGTAGGTACTACGTAATATATATATTTATATATTAAACATTAAAATATCAAATGATTCTCATTCGAGAAATGCAACGACAAGAGTTTACGTGATAACAATAAAAGATCGAAAAGCACACGTAGACTGACAAGGGTATATTCTATCCAGGACCACAGCGGCCATGGTCCCTTAAATTTTCTAAATATTTATTTAATTTTTTATATTATCATTTAAATACATGATATATTTGTTTTTGGCCTCAAATTTATTAACTACTTTATATTACTTTTAAAAATAATGTACATTGATGCTTAATTACTCATAACCTTCCACTCGATCGGAACCAACTCATCAATTTTAAAATAAAACCCAAACCTGACCAACTTAAAATAATATATTATAAAAAATATTGTTTTATTTAATAAAAAGTAAAAATGTAATTGAAAAAATAATGTGTAGAAGAGTCTTTTTTTTGCAGTTATCCTTAAATATATATGGTAAAATTACAAATATTTTCGGGTTGATACTCGTTGATTTGAGTCTTGTACCCATCCCTATTATCCTTGATATAAATATACAAATAATAATCCTATATAGAATATATGATGATAGAATAAAATTATGAGTTAATTACATTATACATCCTCAAACTATGACCCTCGTTCTAGATTGGTCCTCAAATTTCTGGATACTCTAATTTCATCACTAAACTATGCATCTTAATTTAAATTGATCCCTAAGCTTTTAGGAATTCTGAATTCATCCCCAAACTATGATTTTCATTTTAAACGAGTCCACAAACTTTCAAACGGTCCAATAACTTCCCTTAAATCACTTAAAAATTTTGGGTTGAAATTAAAACATTGAAATTAATTTGTGAGAATTGAATTCGTGAACTTCTAAAACATTAATTTATTTTGAAGGTTTGAGAATGTTTTTTAGAAGATCAGAAATTCAATTCTCAATACCTTCAAAATCATATTAAAAACTTTTAACCAGCAGAATTAATAAAATGTTAACAAAAGGGTCAAAATGGAACGATATTGATAGGTTGGAGATTAATATAAAATATTTTAAAAGTTTATGGATCAATTTATAGTGAATATCATAGTTTGGGGATTAATAAAATGTTAACAAAAGGGTCAAAATGGAACGATATTGATAGGTTGGAGATTAATATAAAATATTTTAAAAGTTTATGGATCAATTTATAGTGAATATCATAGTTTGGGGATTAATACAGAATGATTTAAAGTATACAGACTAATTTAGAAGGACGGTCATAATTTTATAACTAGTAGTTGATTACTAGCGACGAAAGCGATGTGATCAGAGTGAATAATTTAAAGATTATTGTTATTCTTTCAAGTATTAAATTCAAACTCTATAAATATAAAAAACGTTTAATGTTAAAAGATTAAAAGTTATCTTTAAACAATCTTCTCTACCTCCGTGACTTTTACTGCCAAATCCAAAAAACATAATAAAAGCCGAAATATTTTTAGGATAAATTACAAGTTTATTACATAAACAATCAATTTTGATCTATTTTAGTATCAATACTTTTAACCTTTTCAAAATCATACCTAAAGTTTAGCTTTTATTTTATTTTAATACCCCGTTTAAAAGTTAACGTTAAGTTTTGGGGGGAAAATAGAAGTTTAGCCACTAAAATGGACCAAAAATGATAGTTTAGGCACTAAACACGTTAAATTTTTAAGGCGGGATACTAAAATGAAACAAACACTAAACGTTATATATGACTGTGAAAAGATTGACAGTTTAGATATTAAAAAAGACAAAAACTTATAGTTCAAGTATTAAATGCGTAGTTTACCCATATTTGAATCATCATTTGCTTTGCCTGTTTTTCCTGAACAAATGTGCCTAGAAAGATCAACCCAGGCTGTCTATCATCCCTAAACTACAATGTAACAAGGAAACATTAGGTTTTATGAGATGAGGCCCCAAGTTCCCCTGTATATTGATCCGTTGCGAAAACGACATTACTCGACCCACATTTCGTCCATGGTCTCCAATTCGATCCCTACTGAGATCTGTCCGAAATCTACACCTTCTGCTTATCCTGCAATCGACATAAACTTTTACATGCATATTATCATCAAGGTTATTCGTTCTGGTGGAAAAAAAAACTGGAACTAAGCCCCAAACTTCCAAGCTGGTGGATGGTGATAGTATTAGGCTTTAAGCTTTTCAACAAATGCCTCAGACAATAGGGTCGATCAAAACGTGCAAAACGGAATTTTATTGCATATATTATTGAGCCAAGAAAAAAAGAAGAAGAAAAAAGGCAGAATGTGAAATGGGCTAGAAGACGTTCATCATTAGCCTAATCAAGTGGAAAGGAACAAAGTGTTCAATATTAAAAGCAATACTTCTGGGGTGAATTTGTTATGCTGCAGTGCATGTGGTCACAAATCCGAATGACAATAGGGTCGATCAAAACCACCATGCTGAAGGTAAGAAATTGGAGTTAGAAGACCATACCCGTGATCCAATGGCAACTAAAGCTCGGAATCTTGAATCAACTTTGATAGGGAAGCGGTGGCAGGTTAATGAACGTTGCTCTTGTTGAAGAATCAAACCTAGAAAAGATATAGACTTGATGAAGAACAATAAGGGATGAATGGGGAAGGTGGCGGCAATAGATAGGGTTCTTTAGGGTTTCTTTTTGGTGTTGGAAACAAGATAAGAAATAAGATTAAAACAAGATAAAGAAAAGATAAAGGAATTGCAAATAAAATAAGATAACTAAGAAATCAAAAGATCTCCCTTATGAAGGTGAACGGTAAAGATGATTGATGACGTGGATGGATATGTGGAAAATCGATGGATAATGTCCTATCGAGCCCTCCTAGTCGCAATGAAAAGGAAAACACGATAATATGGCTCTAACCAACCCTCCTAGTCGCAATGAAAATGAAAATTGGAGTGTGAAGATTAATCTCACTCGCAAGAACTTGAAAGAACTCAAGGAGAAGAAGCTTCGAAGGCACAAGGCAATCAGCACTTGCAAAAACGAACTCTCGTTGTATTATTAATCAAATAAATCTTGAATTACAAAGTTTAATGAAGCCTCCTTTATATAGGGTTGAGTTCTAAAGTTCCTAAATAACTAATGAATAAAATAATAATAAACTAAACATATCTTAACTCTAATTCCTAATAAAATAATAATAACTAAAGATAATATTTTTAACCTAACCTTAATTCCTAATAAAATAATAAATCTAATCCTAAAAGATAATGCATCATCCTATATTAAGTTATATTACAAATAATCAATAAAAATATTGAAAATTCGTAATATTTACAAAATCCCGTATTAATCCCGTATAGGATTTTCTGCATGCACCGTCTTCAGTAAAATAGCCATATCTTGAGTTCCCGATATCGTATTGATGCGATTCAAGAACCGTTGGAAATATAAGAGACTGACGGTCGTATCTCTAGAAGACATCTTGACTAAATAAGATCAGAATCCCATTCAAAAAGTCGTCGTAAGTCTGCTTTTGTTCTGATATTCTTTTCCAATGCTTGGACGAGTGGATCATTTGGAAGAGTTATTACTTCTTCCTTTGATGTGAGCCTTGTGATGCATGTATCAAACTTTTAGATTTTCCAGCTCAGCAATCGGTGCCAGAAGGCAATACAATGAATACAGTTCAGGATTCCAATGGCTGAAGATCATCACTAAACAAACTATCAGTGTAATCCATGGCCACATGCATTATTGAAAAGATAAACCTAAACGGAATCTATTATGGAAATATGGGATTCAATTCCAAAAATAGGGAATAATAGAACAAGACAAACCTCTAAAGCTACTGAAAGAACATGGTTTGAATGCATTGTCATTTTGTGCATATTTTGGTCTCCTCTTTGCATGATCGTATATATTTTCAGAACATGTCGAGAAGAGGAAGTGTTACTGCTTTGGTATACTATAATGGTAAAATGATGCGTGATGAATCTCTTGGCATCGTCTTTCAGTCCACACATATTGTGACGTTAACATTGCCTAAGAAATTAACTTATAAGTAGTTGATGAAAGAAGTCAATAACAATGTTCCATATGGTCGTGGAAAAAGAACTTGAACTGTTAAAGTATCGACTACCAACTTCATTAGACCACTAACCTACTCAATATACAATGTTGAGGATGATGGCGATGTGGACATGATGCTTGATTGCCATATGCAGTATTCATTAGGAGGGCCACTTGAGTTGTATGAAAATTTCTTGTATGATAATGATGCTACTTGTGTCCCAAATTGGAAACGGGTTGATTTTGACTTCAATCCTAATATTCATAGTCCGACAGCTAATTTACGTAACGACGTGAACTTATTAAGTGTTACTGCTTGGGGCAATGACTTGGGTGCATCATTGTCTTTGATGCCAAGGTATTCTTGTCTAGCTAGCTTGGATTTTGACCTGAATTTGTCACCTTCAACGCACAATCCATACAATAATGGCATGGGTGCATCATCTTCTCAGCAAGAGAATCCTACTTATGCGATAGAATAATTGAACCTTGAGTAGGTAGCACTTGAATATGATCATGCATGTACCTAGCGCTTAGTACCATGTTCTAGATTAGCGATTATACTGCTAGGCTTTTCAAGCTCAATGTTCAAATGTTTTTCGTTTGTGGGTTATTAGCTTAAGTAGTTCGAGGAGCACCGTCGTAACAGGACTTCCAACATCTCTTCCAAAGTATTGTACTGTTTAGTGAGCATATGTATTCATATGACTTTTACTAATGTATTTAGTTTATCAAACTTTGAGTTGTATTATTTTTTTTAAACCGTGTCATGGAACTTGGGTTTATAAAAGTGTTTTTATAACTATCGTGTATGTCTATTTTGGAACCATTCAATATGTTTTGAAATAAAAATGGACAGGTTTTGAAAATCAGAGGTTGCCTCATTAGCCCAATATGACACTTTAAGCCCAATCGAGTTTAAGATGTTACATTTAGTGGTATCAAAGTGTCAGGTTGAGTCGGTACTAGGACCCACTGGTTGGTTATAGTATGGTGTCAGTGAATACATGCCCAACGGTACTGAAAGTACTCGTATAAGTCTGGAATCCTGATGGTGCTTCCTTTCTTTGTTTGTTTTGTAGAAATTTGCAATGGTTGATAGTTCCGAGCGTAGTCTTGTGGATAGGATGGAGAGTCATACCTCTCATACCGATAGCGTCATTAATGAGTTCCTGCCTAGGGCAAAGGATCATGGGGTCCCATTAGACGCGTGAGTCACAGAGGCAACCTTCTTTAAAGATTTAACTTCTACTCTTAGGGAGATAGTGGACGCTAGTCCTAGAGCGCAAACTATTCAGCCAGCCATCCGGAGTACTTTAGCACTAATAGAGTCTCAGTTGATAGACCGAAGTATAAGATAGTCAACTTCTATGATTCAAGCGATGATGATCTAGTTTCGACCGATTAGTTGTTGAGGGAGACCAAAAGGATTTAATAACAATCACAGGAAAGGTTAAAGTGTACATTTTATTCTAATTGATTAACTCGACGATATTGATATTAAGAGATACATTCTTATTTTTTTAATCGACTATAAATTTATAAGTTGCACGTAATTATCCTAGAATAAATATCCCCTTTAATTCAGAATATTCAAAAAGAAATAATTTTTTTTGGTTCTAGACCGACTCAGGTCGCACACCTGGTCTTGGTGGGTGAGTCTCCTAGCGGGAATTTCCTGCATACACAAGAACTCAAACCTGAGACCTTGCTTAAGCGATATCAAGTTGCTTACTACTTGAATCAACCTTGTTAGTAATTCAAAAAGGAATATGCAATATTTAAGGAAACGTTTAATTCATAGTAGGTCACAGTCTTAACATAAGATATTTAATAATTAATAAGTGGGTTGGTGTTAGGATGTTCCAAAAAACCGAAACCGTTAACCGTATAACCGTTATATTTAACATGTTAGTTAATCGAACCATTAATGCTAAACAATTTTGGTTAACCAAACCACTAAAAATGATGGTTCAGAGTTAAAGTTACGGTTACGAATTTTGATAAACGATTAACCAACGGTTAACCGTTAATAAATTAAATTTATAATTATATTTCTAATTTATTATATTGTTACATAAATAAGTTAATATAAATTTCTATTATTTATAATTTATATATATAATAAAAATTTGTATACAAATAACTTAATATATATTTTTTATTATATTTTTAATTTTTTATTTCTTTGAAAATATAGAAACATATTTACATCAATATAATTGTATGCTTATTGTTAGGTGTTAAGATATTGGGAGATGTACATACTTACATCGGTGTAAGTATGTGTTAAGTGCTACACTTTTTTATTTTATTTACTTACACCTTTGTAAGTATGTGTTAAGTGCTACACTTTTTTATTTTATTCATTTACACCGGTGTAAGTATGTGTTAAGTGCTACACTTGTTTATTTTATTCACTTACACCGGTGCATTTACTTATACCGGTGTAAGTATGTATTAAGTGTTACACTTGTTTATTTTATTTACTTACACCAATGCATTTACTTTTACCGTTGTAAGTATGTGTTAAGTGTTACACTTTGTTTTATTCACTTACACTGGTGTAAATATGTGTTAAGTGCTACACTTGTTTATTTTTTTCACTTACACCGGTGTAATTATGTGTTAAGTGCTACATTTTTTTGTAGTATGAATTATGAAAAAAAAAATGACAAATAATTGTAATAGGTAAACCGTAGGTTAGCCTATAACTGAACCGTTAATAACGGTTAACTATTAGATGTTAACCGTTTCTTAATGATTAGGTTACGGTTAAAAAAAATCTCTTAACCGTCCATGTACAGCCTAGTTGGTGTATATAAATGCTTCTCATGTTCGTTTATCTACCAATGTGGATATGAGTTCTCCATTAGGGGTTTGGTTCGGTGATATGGTACTTTCTCAAGAAACAAAGAAAAGTTATTTTAAAGAAAATGAAACTGGGAGATTCTGTGTGTCGTTAATTTTGGGTTAAGTTATATGAGGCGGTTGGGAGCTCTGGTACAAATTGGTTCAAGGACAAATTTGTGGAAGAAATCAGTACCGTAACTCCAAGTCTTATTCTAATCTGGGGGAAGCGGATCAAAAAGGGCCTAGCATGCACTTGCATAAACATATATGCCCTCTGCGAGAGACGAGTTCAACCTTCACTTTGAGAGGAATACAGGTTTGGAGTAGTTTGAGGCAGAGGCTTTAGAAGTTCCACTCTCCCTAAAGTAAACAGTCATGATCGTTCCACAGGGCCCGAGTTTGGTAGGAGATGCTGATGTTTGTCATGGAAAATTTCCCAAATTGGTTTCTGTCTGGTGCATTTGGTGTTTGTTAGTCTATTTTTGTCCGGTTGTTGTATTTTGTTTATTTAGATCTGTTCGAGTACTGTAGTGTCTTAGGGCATCCATAGCTGGTCGTTTGAGTGTTGATAGCTGTTTTTTCCTGTACTACTGTTTGTGACCGGGTGGTCTTTGGTCTGTAATGTCAACTTTTGCTGGATTTGGTCTTAGGTTTATTTTGATAGATTAACTCGAAGCTATTGAAAAAAAGAGATGCATGCTTATATTTTAAAATTAATATTATTAATACCAACAACCAGTTGATCTAGTGGGATGAGACACTAGGTACTTAAGCAAAGTTAGGGATTTGAATCTTGACATTTGCGAATGGAGCAAACTGGATTGAGAGGGTCGCTCTCGCCTCTATAGTACCTGATCTGGATTAATCAGTCAATAGATGGGATATCAGTGATTAATTCAAAAAAAATATTATTAATAACTGACACCATTACAAGTTAAAAAAGACAAAGAAACACACATTATTCAAAAGCTAGAGCCAGTGACAATCCTTTATTGTTGGCTGTCAAATTTATTACATAAATAAAATAGTAGTGCATGGTGTAAACAAGTACAGTATTTGGTTTACTTTTGACAGCCTCACCACCACTCCAGGGATTGCCTAGATATGCAAAGAGTAAACAAGCCCAGCAAAGAGCCAGCTTAATTTGGTGGAAGAGCAACGATCGAGGCTATCAAGACTTGAGCATCACCATTCGACTCGATGCGCGCAGCTGAATCGTATTTCCAACCGTAGCTGGTGGTGTACGAATCATGGGCATTGTCGCGTTGAATCTTGTCCCAGATATCTGTCCAAACAATAGGGGCGCCAGCAGGAAGGATCGAGATAGCGACCTGTCATGCCATAAAATAACATATAAAACAAGACAAAGTACTGACCGGACATGAAATCAATTACAAGGGGAATTAATAACATAAGTAAGAAGTAAGATGGTGATATTTACTTGATTATTAGCGGTCCAAACAACGACCCAAGTGGCTATATTTCCGATAGCATACACGACAGATCCGAAACTATTGAGCGATGTATCCTGTTGGAATTCAGATGATTCTCCGCCGCTCTGAATCGCCTTAGGAACGCCTCCATAGGTCGACGAAACCAACATTGCGGTGTCGCCACTAGAATTTCTAAGCGTGACGGTTGTGGGTGTAGTAGGAGCAGCCATTTCTTATTAACTCAACTAAGTTTATGATACGTACTTGATTTGCTTTGTGTTGTGCTACATAGCTGCTTGCATACACATATTTATATACATGTTTTCTAGCATAATTAAGATAATATGAATATAATAAAACCAGTTTGCATTATTATATGTGAAAAACAATAAAATAATATTAGACACCAACCAATATTTAAATTACAATAAATGATAATGTCATTATTTAATTACGTCATGAATAAAAAATTAACTGACCCTTATTCTCATATATAATGGGGTAAGGGGAGATAAGATAGTAAGGTTGAGAGCAGCTTCTGTAGGAGACCTCCGAATTATAAAATGCCCTCCGTGGTACTCGATCCCACGACCCGAAAATTAAAAACCTTGTGCTCTACCAATTGAGCTGAATGATCATGAATCCATACAATTAATCACATGTCCATTAAATCAAATGTAAAAATCTACTACCCAATAAAAATAGTAAAATGACATTAATATCCCGTTATCTATAAAACTTTTATCGTTTTGCATATTAAATTAATAATATCAAGTAACCTCTAATTAAGGGTAAAATGGCGTTTGTAACCCTTTATCTATCAAACTGTTGTCTTTTTTCAAGACTATTGCATCAAAACAATCTACTTATGCTGTGGGTACCATATATTGGATAACTCCGTAAAAAGGTCATATTTGGGACCTTTTCACTTAAGTTATTGACTGTCTAAATGCCCAATTATCATATAGATGCATTTAGGAGCATATGGTTGCATGTGGTGAAATTTTGTTTGCCGCGACATTTTATTTTGTAATCAGTGCTGCATTATGGGGAAAGTGTTTTTCTGGTGATGTGCAGGATTTGAGAGCAAGGAAAAGCAAAAGGGGAATGTCGTGACAAAAGGAGACTGCTGAGCAAAATGCAAATGCCGAACCAGTTGGCATTTCGAGAGCGATTAAAACGAAAGAAATATTTTTAGTAAGAGCCAGCTGTCACGGCATAAAAAAGTGCTTTATGCAATCAGCATTAAAGGAGGGGTCAATTACCATCTTTGTACCAACTTTCACATAAAAGGAATGAACTTTAGTAAGAGCCAACTGTCACGGCATAAAAAAGTGCTTTCTGCAATCATCATTAAAGGAGGGGCCAATTACCATCTTTAACACAAAAACCCTAGGTTCATTCTCCCCTTTAAATAGAAGATAAAGCCTGACTTTTGGAGACAGAGAGAGAGAGAGATTTTAGACAGTCGCCAAGAGCCTAAAAATTCGGAGAAAAAATTCTTCGTCAATCCCATTTGTCGTGGCATTCCTCCGTTGATAGGCTAGAGGGAGTGTCGTTCTAGGCGTCCGAGAGGAGCTAGTTCGCTAGGGGCAGTTCGTGGTGGTCGAGGAGAGCATCCAGCAGTGCACGTTGAAGGCTTTTCCTCCTTCCCTTAGCTATTTGCTTTCATATTTTGTTATTTGGGTTGTAAGGAACGAATGATATTTGCTTTGTGCTTGTTTATTTCGAACCCCACCATGAACTAAACCTATTTGGTGGGAGTTCATTTTGGATATTTAAGTTTTGCTTTAATGAATGATTGTTTTTCTATGTTATTAATTGTTTTGTTTATGGATCTTAATGCCTTAAGGTTGTAGGAGCTATGAGAGTAGCCATTCCTTAGGAGATTACTAAGTGTTTGAGAGAATATCTAAGTAGCACATCCTTAGTATTCGAGAGAAACTAGGGAGTAGCCACATAAGCAAGGAGTTCTAGATAGTAACTAGGCCTAATCCACCTTAGAGATAAGGCTAGGATTTCATTCGACTAAAAGGAGTTGTGCATGAGCGATATGTTAGATGTTAATGCTGCCGCAAAAAGGTATTGCCCATACATATCCTGTTATCTGGACCAATAGGATCCCTGCAGTAGCTAACGCCAATCGGTTTTGCCAAGGCATCTTCAATCTGTCGAGGCCCTTAACTAGAGATAGCATAGGGCACCCTTAGTAAACTCTGTCGGGCAGTTAAGACAAAGAAGTAAGACCATTCTGAGAAGTAAACTTAAATTTTCCTAAGTGACTCCTATCACTCATTCCCATAGTAGCTTGTCGTGTGAGGAGTCTAAAGTTCTTATAAGCAAATCCAGTATTTACAGTTTATTTTGTCTTTACATTTTCAGTTGTTTATACTCAGCACAATTCAATTTGCCATAACATATCCATCTGCTACCACCTTATCACCATTCTATTTTCGCAACATCCATCTCATTTTGCCACAGCATTGTCATTTGTTTATACCATTATTAACTTTACTTAGGTGACAAAGTAAACTGCCGTGACAAGTTTATTTGATTTCCCCCAATCCCTGTGGAGAACGATACTCACTCATCACTTTATTACTTGTTCGATTATGTATACTTGCACACATATCCGCATCATTTATAGTACTCATACCGAGCGGACAATATTCACCCAACCAAATCAATATTATAATATGTCAAGTAATGTTATATTTATGCTTAACAAATTAAACAAGTTATTACAACATTTATGTAATTTTACATCTATTTTTAACCGAACACTGTAAACTTATTTCTATCTAATAAACCAGACAAGACGATATAACATTCCTAATGATATGTTTCGATATTCTATGAACGATGTCCCAAAATTTTAACAATAATTTTATGCAGCTTCGATATCTCAAGAATTGTATCATACTCGAACATAGAAATGATCATTTTAAGCTCAGAAATCACTCCCAAAATTAGGGGTAAGCGTTCGATTGAGTCAAGTCGAGTCAAAAAATTTCGAGTTATTTGAGTTGACGAGTTTTATTTTATAATTCAAAGTTGATTCAAGTCGAGTTTATAAAATTCGATTAGAGTCGAGTTGAAGTTTTGAGTTTCTATTTAAATTTAATTGTACATATTTAATATTACGATATTATTTTATTCTAATTTAAATGGTTTTTTATAACTATATACAATACATATATATTTCTTCATATTTTTTCCTATGTGATATACATATATCATATAAATTTGAGGGACTCGACTCAAACTTAAAAATCAACCCACTAATTATTAAAAATTTCGAGTTAGTCAAGTTGTACCTCGACTTGAACTTGAAATTTTTTGAATCAAGTTGAGTTTATTCAATTCGAGTCGAATTTTCTCGAGTCAAATCAAGTAAATGAAATCGATTTTTCGAATCGAGACGAGTTTTACTCACCCCTCCCAAAACCGCTCTACACACTTGATTCAAGGCCTCATTCTATTTCTAAGATTCAAGGGGGTGTCATAGGATCATTTAACATCATTTATGCCTATGTTTAACAATACTCGTAAATTTGGTCATCAAACTTGTTTAGCACTAAGACATACTGAATTAGCCACATACAACACATAAAGTATCATACTTATGAGCAGTGGCGGATGTAGAAAATATTTTAAGGTAGACACATATGTTAATAACACTTATGTATAAAATTTTATTAAAACTCGTCATCTCGATGTAACGAGTTCAAAGTCACTGTAGTAAATACGGTAGTGTCCTAACCTTAACAAGTTATCATTCCTAGGCCTAAACATAATTATGACATAATTACATTATGGTTCCTCTACATTTTACAAGATAACTTGTTAAGTGAAGAATCCACTAGTGTCCTAGGAATGATAGACCAGTTCATTTTCCAGTGAAAAGATCCCTTTTAGAAACTCAATTCTCTGTTGTGATGCTAAACTAAAAGTCTAAAGAATGTATCCTTTTAGAATTTGTCTTGTTTTATAAAATATATATAAATCTGATAATACTATATAGAGTTTAATATAAACATAAAATAATAAATTTTGTAGCATGCTTCGGTTCGTAAAAGACCCAGTTTGGAAGTCAGTGTGGGCGAATACTGCGTCCCCAAACGTTGAAGCTTTTGTTTGGAAGGCCATTCAACAAAGACTGCCTACGCTAGTGGAACTATCGAAAAGGGGCGTTCCAAATCTAGAAAATGCGGTACGTGTCTTATGTCGTAAAGGACAGGAGGATGTAAATCACTTATTATGCCATTGCAAAATTGTGTGGGTCGTATGGCAGAAGTGGTGCGAGATGTGGAAGTTAAACTTTGTCGTTCCTAGCGACGTGAAGTCTCTCCTGATCGTTTGGAAGTGTCAATCGATCCAAAAAGTACTTAAACCAATATGGGGTATGGCATTTAGGGGTATCTTGTGGTCGGTTTGGCTCTGTAGAAACGAGGTGGAGTTTATCAGTAAACCGTGTGATGGAAATAGGATTTTGAAATGTCTCTTCTTAGGACTGGTTTTTGGCGTAAAAGTAAATGGCCGAACTCTTTTCCCTCTATATCTGATTTTATTAGTTGTCCCTTAAGGCTGGCGTCCATATGATCTTGATTGTTAGTGGTCTTTTGGCTATAGCTTCGGGTCCATATATTTGTGCTTGGAGGGACATGCTTAAAGAAGGATGCATCTTACTGGTCCTAATGTTGCGTGTTAGTGAAATCATTTCTGGCTTGGTTGCTTGACTGTTCTGGTCTCAGTTACAGTTTAGGCCGCATTTGGATGTGTTGTTTGCCTGGCTGCAGCAGTAGGTGTAGGGGTTCGATGGAGTGTGATGCTGCTACTGCTACTGGTGGTCACGAATTTGAAGTCTCGAGTAATGGTCTTCCCTGGACTTTGGAATTTTGATCCGTTTTGTTTATGTTGCCTAAGGGTGTAACTGAAGTTAGCTGTTAAGGGGTGTCAATCTTGATAGTAGGGAAAATAACATCTTAAAAGTTATAAAAGATTGATGGGTTACTCGTTAATTTGTCGAGTCAAATTAGACTTTGCTCGAGTTTAAGTCTAGTGACATTAGATTTTGTAGTCATCAATACACCTGCAGTCAGTCCTGTAGCCCAAAACCAAGTCCCTTTTAGAAGGGAACTGCAACAGAACATAAGGAGTAAACTAAGATTCATTTAATCCCGGAGTTTGACTACTTTTCCTGCACCATTCCTTGGGTTTCCTTTATCCATAGTAGTCCTTAAATTTGTCTTATTTGTCCATATTAGCCCGAGTTCGACTATCTTCACCACATTAGTCTTGAGTTTTTTTTTATCTACATTAGTCCCTTATGTTTTTGGTCCGTCTTAATCACTCCTCCAGTATGTGATTTTTTTTTTTTTGATAAAATCTACCGTTCAGGGTTTTATTAACTTCAAAAAAGGGGTTATATCCAGTTAAAAAAAGGATAAGAACAAGCTCCCGTCCCATGCAAAAGAAAATGTATGGTCACTCAAAAAACATAAAACAAATAAAATGCAGAAAAAAAAACCTGTTGAAGACGGCGATAACTCTTCCACTACCAAACACCAATGAAACTAGCAAGGAACCAAGTGAGAAGAAGAAATAAAGACGGGGTCCGGGCAACACCAGAGCAAATGAAGAAGGACCTCCAAAAAATGACCTCCCCTGTTGTCAAGTAGGTTCAAGATGGCGACGGGCTGCTATAGCTAGGCTGAGGATGGATGGGGGAGCATCTTCCACCCAAAACAGATCAGAAGATTCCTTCAAACCTCTGCTTGATAAAGCGTGAGCTACCTGATATGCATGTCTGGGAATAAAATGGAAATGACACTCCCTAAACTCCTCCTCCTCTACTTTTATGTCGGTTATGAGGGATTTGATGTCTGAGAGATCAGATTCGGCCGAGTGAACTCTTTCAACGATGGTTCGAGCACCCCTTCAATGATAAAACGAGAAAAGCCCATATCTTGAGCAAATTGGAGCCCATGCAGGAAAGCAATTGCCTCGGCAACAAAAATTGATTGAACGGAGTTAGTGATTCTGCAACTTGTACCCAGCACCTGTCCATTATGATCTCTAATTACACAGCCTGAACTGGCTTTCTTGGAATTTTGAAGGTAACATGCATCCACGTTGACCTTGACTAAAGGATCATGAGGGGGATCCACTGAACCGCTTCAAAACGAATATGATGATTTAATGAACCTGTGAGGGAATTGAGCTCATGCAGATATCCTCGCACGAAGGTAATGACATCTTTCTCTCTTTGCAATATTCCTTCATGCACTAATCTGTTTCTTGAGAACCACATCGCCCAGATAGAAATAGCGAAGATTTTCTTTTTGATCTTGCCCCGGTAACCAGAAATCGTTCCATATGGAAACCGAAGCTCATGTGCCAATTCTCCAACACATCCCAAAGTCTTAAAACCCCCTCGCGCTCCATATACTTATCTCCCAACTGAGCATTAGATAAGGTACTTATCGGATAATACTTGGCTCGAAATACCCGAGCACTTTCACTAACATTCATCCAAAATTAAAATTTCAGTAAACATAATTTTTAAAACATGGTCAAAAAGAAAATCATCAAGTAACTTCTGTAACAGAATATTTCGTGTTCAAGTGATTGCGTCTGCAAGGCATCTAACGTAAGATTTTGAACATATAATGTCTATACCGAAAGCGATCGTTTCCGGCAGGCCACATGAGATTGGTGAAACTTGCAGTTGAATCGAAAGATGTTGGATGGTCGATGGCCAAAGATTCGTAGAGTGGAAGAGATTTGTATTGTCCGAAGTATTCGAAGTAGGGTTTGTTGCTGGTGTTCTTCGTTTTTACCTCCGTTGGGAGATCGAACAACTCTTCAGCTCCGGCGAAAGCTGCACCGTGAACCTGGGGAGATATTTTCTCGAATTTCGCTTCGAAGCAGCCGTATTCCTCCAGAGCTCGCCGGACATCGTTGCATGTTGGTGCCCAACCGCTTGATCCAGGCTTTAGATTCTCATCGGAAAAATCGATAACCGGAAGCTTTGGATATGATTCCAACCCCATCACTAAGCAATTGATATTATTGTTATATTTTAGTCTCCGAGTTTTTTAGATGAATCAAATTGACCTTTTGAGCCTGCTACTTATAGATGAAAGTTCATTACTGTTATATTATCGGAGAACTTCCATAGGTGTAATTTCACTTTCGGAAGCATAATTTCTCCGTTAATTTATTAAGATTATTTCTAAAAAGATACGATGACGATCTTTGACAATACTTTTAATAAAATCTTTAATAAATGGTCCCCTACTATAGGACATTGTTTTATTGATTTCCTTAACTATTAAAAATTATAAAATGATCCATTGATTATAGATTGTTGCCTTATTGAGTCTTTCGACTATTAAAAGTTACAAGATGGTCACCCGACTATTTATTATGTTTCAAACTCGTCATTTTCTATTAAAAATTAGCCGCAGTTTGAGCTGGATGTTAATCTGTTGTCTGAGATATGATAGTCACTTGAGATTCTAGGGCCATGTTTTATCATATCTCAGATAAATACTTAACATCCAACCCAGATTGCCATCAATTTTTTTTAACAAAAAATGACGAATTTGAAATATAATGAATAGTCAGGTGACCATTTTGTAACTTTTAATAGTCGGGGGACTCAACAAGGCAACATCCTATAGTCGGAGGATCATTTTATAACTTCTTATTGTTAGGGGACTCAACAAAGCAACACCCTATAATCGGGGATCATTTTGTAACTTTTGATTGTCAGAAGAGACCATTTGTATACTCATATATTTTATTGATTTTATGATCCATGCATAACAATCATCATTCTAGACTTGACCTAAACATATAAAGGGACTCGATGTATATACCGCAATGGCACTTCTGATGAAACTTCAAGCATCATTCCGCTAACTTTCCCTCCGTATCATTGATATTATCGTTGATAATCGACCGACCATCGATTATAATTCTTTATTGTCATTAACAACTATATGTAACAAAAAATATAAATACTTTTTGTAATATTAAATACAATAATTCTAACATCGTACAAATAAGAAAACTGGTGTATATAATATACCACGATTAGGGATGTAAATGAGACGAGACAGATCGCGAGCTATTCAAGATCGACTCGATCAAGGCTCGATAAATACTCGAATTGAATGGACTCGACTCGAGCTCGAGCTCGACTCGAGTTCTTAACGAGCCGAAACGAGCTACTCGATATTCGACTCGAAAAGCTTGTCAGGAGCTCAAAATATAATATATTAAGATTTTATTTTTTTAAAAAATTATTAATAATATTAATATTTATGTATGGATTTTTTTAAAAATACAGTAAGATTTTAATATATTTAAGATTCATGTTCGAGTTTGAGTTTGAGGCTTCAATCAAGTTAAGTTTAAGATTTTTTTTTCTTCATTTCGAGCCTTTTCGAGCTGCTCACGAGCTTCAGTTCAGGATTTCGAGTTTGAGTCGAGCTTGAAAAATTTTAAGCTCGAGAGTTTTCGAGTCGAGTCGAGCTCAATTTCAGAATTTTCGAGTCGAGTCGAGCTCATGCATTAGTTTGATTGATCATAGTGATATATTAGATTGCATTTTATTTATTTATAAAGCAGTCCATTCGTTATTAGTTCGGTTGATCATATCACTGTAATTATTAAAAATTATAATTTAATTTTATTTAGTTTGGTTGAAAAAAGTTTCTAAGTGGGTTCTATACGTATTGTGATGTGTTTAAGGTTTCTAAAATACTAATGTCAACAAAAGTACAATGAAATATCAAAAATAATATATATGTGTATATATAGAGAGGGGATAAGTGGTATTTACACGTATTTGGTTGGGGGAATGTGAGATTCTCATTGTGAGATTCTCATGGGAATGGAATCCACATTCCTCCGTTTGGTTGGTCGGGAATGTCATTCCCGGTAATCTTACATTACCAATAGTGGATTTTTTGAGGTATATTACTGGGAATGTCATTACCTCCATTTCCTTAGGTATTGTTGGATTACCAGCGTTTTGTACTAAAATGCCCTTAAAAAAAATTTCTTTTCAAAAATATTATTATTCTGTCATTGAATAATAAAAATTCTATGAAGGTTAAATTACAAATTTATCCTTAAACTATTTTAGATTTACAAAAAAAAATCTATAATTAAATTTTTATATGAAATTCATGGGTTAAAATAAAATTTTACCCTTTCATTAAACCTTTTTATATTTTTAATTTTGTAAAAAAATTATATAAATTTTATGAATTTAAATTTTTTAAAGAAAACATATAAATATTTTCCAACTTGTTAAATATATATATATATATAATAAAGACAATTTGGTCAAATATACATTCTAATAATCTTTTATTCCTTTAACCAAACACGGTAATCTTACATTCCTGCTAAACCAACCAAACACAAAATGCAACATTTCCAGTAATCATATTCCCTGGTAATCTTTTATTCCCACCGGTAATCTTTTATTCCTACCGGTAATCTTACATTCCGTGAACCAAACACACCCCTAGTATAAAACTTTTAGTTTTACATTCTTTTAGGATCGTTGAACGAGGAAAAATCAAAGGTTATTGTTAATTCATTGTTTTCTTTCCGGTAAATATTTTCTTATTTTCCATTATTAATTTTAGCTTTTGATTTCTTCTCGTCCAACGATCCTAAAAAGATGTAAAATTTATTAGTTTTACGTAATGTAAGCAGGTACTACGTAATATATATATTTATATATTAAACATTAAAATATCAAATGATTCTCATTCGAGAAATGCAACGACAAGAGTTTACGTGATAACAATAAAAGATCGAAAAGCACACGTAGACTGACAAGGGTATATTCTATCCAGGACCACAGCGGCCATGGTCCCTTAAATTTTCTAAATATTTATTTAATTTTTTATATTATCATTTAAATACATGATATATTTGTTTTTGGCATCAAATTTATTAACTACTTTATATTACTTTAAAAAATAATGTACATTGATGCTTAATTACTCATAACCTTCCACTCGATCGGAACCAACTCATCAATTTTAAAATAAAACCCAAACCTGACCCAACTTAAAATAATATATTATAAAAAAATATTGTTTTTATTTAATAAAAAGTAAAAATGTAATTGAAAAAATAATGTGTAGAAGAGTCTTTTTTTGCAGTTATCCTTAAATATATATATAAAATTACAATTTTTTTCGGATTGATACTCGTTGATTTGAGTCTTGTACCCATCCCTATTATCCTTAATATAAATATACAAATAATAATCCTATATAGAATATATGATGATAGAATAAAATTATGAGTTAATTACATTATACATCCTCAAACTATGACCCTCGTTCTAGATTGGTCCTCAAATTTCTGGATACTCTAATTTCATCACTAAACTATGCATCTTAATTTAAATTGATCCCTAAGCTTTTAGGAATTCTGAATTCATCCCCAAACTATGATTTTCATTTTAAACGAGTCCACAAACTTTCAAACGGTCCAATAACTTCCCTTAAATCACTTAAAAATTTTGGGTTGAAATTAAAACATTGAAATTAATTTGTGAGAATTGAATTCGTGAACTTCTAAAACATTAATTTATTTTTGAAGGTTTGAGAATGTTTTTTAGAAGATCAGAAATTCAATTCTCAATACCTTCAAAATCATATTAAAAACTTTTAACCAGTAGAATTAATAAAATGTTAACGAAAGGGTCGGAATGGAACGATATTGATAGGTTGGAGATTAATATAAAATATTTTAAAAGTTTATGGATCAATTTATAGTGAATATCATAATTTGAGGATTAATATAGAATGATTTAAAGTTTATAGACTAATTTAAAAGGACGGTCATAATTTTATAACTAGTAGTTGATTACTAGCGACGAAAGCCATGCGATCAGAGTGAATAATTTAAAGATTATTGTTATTCTTTCAAGTATTAAATTCAAACTCTATAAATATAAAAAAGTTTAATGTGAAAAGATTAAAAGTTATCTTTAAACAATCTTCTCTAGCTCCGTGATTTTTATTGCCAAATCCAAAAAACATAATAAAAGCCGAAATATTTTTAGGATAAATTACAAGTTTATTGCCTAAACTATCAATTTTGATCTATTTTAGTATCAATACTTTTAACATTTTCAAAATCATACCTAAAGTTTAATTTTTATTATTATTTTTTTGGATAAGTAGATTTTATTATCCAAATAGCAAGAAGCTACAAATACAAAAGAGTCAAAAACAGATTACATACAAGAAGAATCATTGGTCGGCAATATTCCATTGATTACAGAGGTTAATATTCACAATAAGCAGTCGATTAAAAGTCCTACCCTTTAAGTGAAGACTAACAATCTCTTTAATTGCCTTAAGTAAGTCTTCAACAGACCTAGAACGCCTTTGGAACAAACGTTTGTTCCTCTCTTCCCATAACAAGTACACTAAAGTGTTCAGAGCCAGCTTCATAACCAAGGAAAGCAAGGATTTTCCTTTCCAGTAAATACAAGCCTGAGACATGAAGTCATCCCAGGTGCAGGCAGAAAGATCAAACCTGATAAAGTGAAGATGGATTCCCAAAGGGAAGCTGCAGTAGGACAGGAAAGGAATAAGTGGTCTCTTGATTCTGGTTCTGCAGAACAAAGAACACAAAGAGAATTAGTAATCACTCCCATGCGTTGTAACCGGACCTTGGTAGGAAGCCTATCCAGAATTGCCATCCAGGTGATAAGGCTAAATTTTGGTATGTGCATAGGGTACCAAAGCAGTTTCTGCCAAGGAACCGAGGGTCTCTTTTCTCTAATAGAATCCCAAATGGAACTAGCAGTGACAGCTCCTGTGGACATAATTTGATGCACCTCCAGTCTCATTTTCAACAGCCTCTTCATGCACCAGCTGGTGCTTGGTTTTATCTCCATTGACCAGAAGTTCTTGTCCTTAAAAACATAAGAGTTGAGCCAAGCCACCCAAAGAGAACCTTGTCCTGCTAGGATTTTCTTAATAAGAAGGATCATACAAGCCTTATTCCAAATCTTCATATTTTTAATTCCTAGCCCACCTTCTGATTTCAAACAACATATGTTGGACCAGCTAACTCTGGCTCCAGAAGCTGCTTTGTCTGACCCTTTCCAAAAGAACCGGGAACAAAGCTGCTCGATCTTTGCAAGGACGGAGTTAGGAAGGAAGAGCTGCCTGCACCAGAAATTAGAAATAGAAGTGAGGATTGTTCTAATCAGTTCCAGTCTGCCAGCGTAGCTCAGGAGTTTAGTGGACCAGTGATTCAATCTAGTTTTGATATTTTCAATAAGGGTCACACAATCCCTATCAGTAATTTTTTTAGTTGTCAGTGGAATACCGAGATATCTAACTGGAAGGGAGCCAAGATTAAAGCCAGAAATCTCCTTAATTTTTTCTTTAGCAGCAGAGGACATTCCAGCAGAAAAAATTTCTGTTTTTGAAACGTTGAGTTTAAGACCGGACATCTCATAGAAGTAGTCTAAGACACTCGAGACACCAATTACAGATTCCATATTTCCTTTGCAAAAAATTAGGAGATCATCAGCAAATGATAAGTGAGTCAAACCAATTCTTTTGCACTTGGGGTGAAATCCAAAAATACCTTTGGTAGCTGCTAAGTTGAGAAGTTTGGAAAGAACATTAATAGAAAGGACAAAAAGCAAAGGAGAGAGGGGATCTCCTTGTCTTAGACCTTTAGCACCCTTGAAGAACCCAGTCAAACTTCCATTAAAGGAGATAGAGTAGCTTGCAGTTGTAAAACAAATTTCCAGCCAAGAAGAAAAGATGGGAGGCAGACCTATAGATTTCAAGATGGATAAAATGAAGATTCAGTCGATAGAATCAAAAGCCTTGTGAAGATCAATCTTCAGAGAGCATCTTGGAGAAATGTTTGACCTATTGTAACCTCTAACTATTTCCTGAGCTAGTAAAGTGTTGTCGATGATGTTCCTTCCTTTTACAAAAGCTGATTGATTTAGAGTAACCAAGTCAGGCATTAGAAGAGTCAATCGCCTTACTAGGATCTTAGATATAGCTTTATAAATCACAGAACAACATGAGATCGGTCTGAAGTCCTTAACCTTACTGGGGTTAGGAACCTTTGGGACTAAAGCAATAACAGTAGCGTTGAAAGCAGGAAGGAGGAAAGAGTCAGAAAAGAATTGAGAGATTGCAGCAATGACATCTCTTTCGATGATCTGCCAGGAAGTTTTAAAGAAGAATGGAGAAAATCCATCTGGACCTGGAGATTTTTCATTCCCTTGGGAGAAAAATGCCTCTTTGATTTCTTCTTTTGTAACTTCTTTTACAAGAGCAGCAGATTTTTCAGCAGTCAAAGAGTAATTAAATAAGTGTTTCAACAGATTAGGGTCAATTCCCTTAACAGCAGAATCTGCCGATCCTAACAGATTAGAAAAAAATTTGACAACCTCAGTAGACATAAGGTCATAAGTTTCCAGCCGATTACCTTGCTCATCTATAAGGATTCTTATAGTATCTCTTTTGTTTTTGAGAGCTACAGCAGAATGGAAGAATCTGGTACACTTGTCTCCCTCTTTTAACCATTGGACTTTTGCTTTTTGTCTGAAATATAAAACTGCAGCTTCTTCTAATTTTTTAACTTCATTTTGGATAAGTATCTCTTTATCAAAAGAGTCCTCTCCTCTAAGGGATTTAATTTGCTGTAGTTCAAGGTCGGCTTTTAGTTTGGTCACCCTTGCAGGAAGGTCACTATAACAAGACTGGTTAAGAGCCTTCAAACTGGCTTTCAGACGCTTGAGCTTGGAGAACAGAATCTGCATAGGATTTCCAATGGCAGGTTCTGACCAGGACTGATTAACCACGTCAAGGAAATTAGGGTGATGAGTCCAAAAGTTAAAAAATTTAAAAGGCTTAGGCCTATTAGCTTGCAATTCTTTACTGAGCCAAACTTGAGCAAGGCAATGGTCTGAAATTCCTGGAGCTAGAAACTCGACATGAGAATCTTTGAAAGTAGTCGCCCAAGAAGAGTTAATAAGGACTCTATCAAGCTTCCTAGCGAGAAAAGAACTTTGCTGTTAATTCCCCGTTCAAAATTTAACGTTAAGTTTTTCGGGAAAAAATAGAAGTTTAGCCACTAAAATGGACCAAAACTGATAGTTTATGCACTAAACACGTTAAATTTTTAAGGCGGGATACTAAAATGAAACAAATACTAAACGTTATATATGATTTTGAAAAGATTAAAAGTTTAGATATTAAAAAGGACCAAAACTGATAGTTTAAGTATTAAATGCGTAGTTTACCCATATTTTAATCGGAAACTACGCTCAGTTTTACTGTCAAATGGAAAGGGAACATTTCTATCCAATTTGCATCATTTGCTTTGCCTGTTTTTTCTAAACAAATGAGCCTAGAAAGATCAACCCAGGCCATAGTATAAAATAGCAGTTGCGGCATCTGTCGTGATTGCGGTTGCTGCGGAAGTTACGTAACGTGTTGCGGCTATCGCGGACGTGATTTCTTCCTAAAAAATTACAATACTTCTAAAAGATTTTATTGCGTTGCATTAATATTACGTCGCGGTAACCTTCAAAACCGTTACGACGCGGCCGTAATTTAATACCATGACCTAGGCTGTCTACCATCCCTAAACTACAATGTAACAAGGAAACATTAGGTTTTATGAGATGAGGCCCCAAGTTCCCCTGTATATTGATCCGTTGCGAAAACGACATTACTCGACCCACATTTCGTCAATGGTCTCCAATTCGATCCCTACTGAGATCTGTCCGAAATCTACACCGTTTGCTTATCCTGCAATCGACATAAACTTTTACGTACATACTATCATCAAGGTTTTTCGTTCTGGTGAAAAAAAACTGGAACTAAGCCCCAAACTTCCAAGCTGGTGGATGGTGATAGTATTAGGCTTTAAGCTTTTTAGCAAATGCCTCAGACAATACAACGTCGGCAAAGCATCAACACGAATGGCGAAAGCCTTGAAGGTAGAATCTTTATACGAGTTTGGTGAAAAGCTTAAACTTACCAGGAAGGCAGGAACAACCAGCTTCAACTCTGTTTGTTAACAGTTCGATGCCAGCTCCGATTTCTGCAATCTTGGCATCCTTGGAAGCCTTTGCTACTTTGGCAATGTTCACAACATCAAAGTCCATTGCTAGCTTTTTCACCAGACCCTCAAGCTTCCTGAATTCTCGACTTCATCATTTACAAACAGAAAGAAGAATACGGTTCAATGAAGAACATCCAGGACAACGTTCTTTCTATAGCTGAAAAGGAAATAGGTTCGTAGAACATTAGGGGTTTGGTTCGGTGTTAAAGTTAGTAGCTCTAAGAAAGAGGAAGAAATCATAAAGCTGATATGGTACTTTCTCAAGAAACAAAGAAAAGTTCTTTTAAAGAAAATGAAATTGGGAGACTCTGTGTGTCGTTAATTTTGGGTTAAGTTATATGAGGCAGTTGGGAGCTCTGGCACAAATTGGTTCAAGAACAAATTTCTGGAAGAAATCAGTACCGTAACTCCAAGTCTTATTCTAATCTGGGGGAAGCGGATCAAAAAGGGCCTAGCATGCACTTGCATAAACATATATGCCCTCTGCGAGAGACGAGTTCAACCTTCACTTTGAGAGGAATACAGGTTTGGAGTAGTTTGAGGCAGAGGCTATAGAAGTTCCACTCTCCCTAAAGTAAACAGTCATGATCGTTCCACAGGGCCCGAGTTTGGTAGGAGATGCTGATGTTTGTCATGGAAAATTTCCCAAATTGGTTTCTGTCTGGTGCATTTGGTGTTTGTTAGTCTATTTTTGTCCGGTTGTTGTATTTTGTTTATTTAGATCTGTTCGAGTACTGTAGTGTCTTAGGGCATCCATAGCTGGTCGTTTGAGTGTTGATAGCTGTTGTTTCCTGTACTACTGTTTGTGACCGGGTGGTCTTTGGTCTGTAATGTCAACTTTTGCTGGATTTGGTGCCGGCGACTACGTAGAATGTACTATTTTCAAGGTGAATTTCAGCAGGTTAGAGTAGTTTGAGGCAGAGGCTTTAGAAGTTCCACTCTCCCTAGAGTAAACAGTCATGATCGTTCCACAGGGCCCGAGTTTGGTAGGAGATGCTGATCCTTTCGTGCTGATGTCTGTCATGGAAAATTTCCCAAATTGGTTTCTGTCTTGTACATTTGGTGTTTGTTAGTCTATTTTGTGCGGTTATTGTATTTTGTTTGTTTAGATCTGTTCGAGTACGAGTACAGTAGTGTCTTAGGGCATCTATAGCTGGTCGTCTGATTTTTGATAGGTGTTGTTTGCTGTACTACTGTTTGTGACCGGGCGGTCTTTGGTCTGTAATGTCAACTTTTGCTGGATTTGTCGAATGTACTATTTTCTTCCATATAAGGTTAGAGAAATTTTTAACAAGACATTCTTCTCGTTAATTATTAATAAATTGAATTTTTGCTGAGGAAAAAAATTACCAATTTAAACCTTAGGTTTATTTTGATAGATTAACTCGAAGCTATTGAAAAAAGAGATGCATGCTTATATTTTAAAATTAATATTATTAATACCAACAACCAGGTGATCTAGTGGGATGACACTAGGTCCTTAAGTAAGGTCAGGGATTCGAATCCTGGCATTTACGAATGGAGCAAAATGGATTGAGAGGGTCACTCTCGTCTCTACAGTACCTGATCTGGATTAATCAGTCAATAGATAGGATATCAGTGATTAATTCAAAAAAAAATATTATTAATAACTGACACCATTACAAGTTAAAAAAGACAAAGAAACACACATTATTCAAAAGCTAGAGCCAGTGACAATCCTTTATTGTTGGCTGTCAAATTTATTACATAAAAATAAAATAGTAGTGCATGGTGTAAACAAGTACAGTATTTGGTTTACTTTTGACAGCCTCACCACCACTCCAGGGATTGCCTAGATATGCAAAGAGTAAACAAGCCCAGCAAAGAGCCAGCTTAATTTGGTGGAAGAGCAACGATCGAGGCTATCAAGACTTGAGCATCACCATTCGACTCGATGCGCGCAGCTGAATCGTATTTCCAACCGTAGCTGGTGGTGTACGAATCATGGGTATTTCCGATAGCATACACGACAGATCCGAAAGTATTGAGCGATGTATCCTGTTGGAATTCAGATGATTCTCCGCCGCTCTGAATCGCCTTAGGAGCGCCTCCATAGGTCGACGAAACCAACATTGCGGTGTCGCCACTAGAATTTCTAAGCGTGACGGTTGTGGGTGTAGTAGGAGCAGCCATTTCTTATTAACTCAACTAAGTTTATGATACGTACTTGATTTGCTTTGTGTTGTGCTACATAGCTGCTTGCATACACATATTTATATACATGTTTTCTAGCATAATTAAGATAATATGAATATAATAAAACCAGTTTGCATTATTATATGTGAAAAACAATAAAATAATATTAGACACCAACCAATATTTAAATTACAATAAATGATAATGTCATTATTTAATTACGTCATGAATAAAAAATTAACTGACCCTTATTCCCATATATAATGGGGTAAGGGGAGATAAGATAGTAAGGTTGAGAGCAGCTTCTGTAGGAGACCTCCGAATTATTAAATGCCCTCCGTGGTACTCGATCCCACGACCCTAAGATTAAAAACCTTGTGCTCTACCAATTGAGCTGAATGATCATGAATCCATACAATTAATCACATGTCCATTAAATCAAATGTAAAAATCTACTACCCAATAAAAATAGTAAAATGACATTAATATCCCGTTATCTATAAAACTTTTATCGTTTTGCATATTAAATTAATAATATCAAGTAACCTCTAATTAAGGGTAAAATGGCGTTTGTAACCCTTTATCTATCAAACTGTTGTCTTTTTTCAAGACTATTGCATCAAAACAATCTACTTATGCTGTGGGTGCCATATATTGGATAACTCCGTAAAAAGGTCATATTTGGGACCTTTTCACTTAAGTTATTGACTGTCTAAATGCCCAATTATCATATAGATGCATTTAGGAGCATATGGTTGCATGTGGTGAAATTTTGTTTGCCGCGACATTTTATTTTGTAATCAGTGCTGCATTATGGGGAAAGTGTTTTTCTGGTGATGTGCAGGATTTGAGAGCAAGGAAAAGCAAAAGGGGAATGTCGTGACAAAAGGAGACTGCTGAGCAAAATGCAAATGCCGAACCAGTTGGCATTTCGAGAGCGATTAAAACGAAAGAAATATATTTTTAGTTAGAGCCAGCTGTCACGGCATAAAAAAGTGCTTTATGCAATCAGCATTAAAGGAGGGGTCAATTACCATCTTTGTACCAACTTTCACATAAAAGGAATGAACTTTAGTAAGAGCCAACTGTCACGGCATAAAAAAGTGTTTTCTGCAATCATCATTAAAGGAGGGGCCAATTACCATCTTTAACACAAAAACCCTAGGTTCATTCTCCCCTTTAAATAGAAGATAAAGCCTGACTTTTGGAGACAGAGAGAGAGAGAGATTTTTAGACAGTCGCCAAGAGCCTAAAAATTCGGAGAAAAAATTCTTCGTCAATCCCATTTGTCGTGGCATTCCTCCGTTGATAGGCTAGAGGGAGTGTCGTTCTAGGCGTCCGAGAGGAGCTAGTTCGCTAGGGGCAGTTCGTGGTGGTCGAGGAGAGCATCCAGCAGTGCACGTTGAAGGCTTTTCCTCCTTCCCTTAGCTATTTGCTTTCATATTTTGTTATTTGGGTTGTAAGGAACGAATGATATTTGCTTTGTGCTTGTTTATTTCGAACCCCACCATGAACTAAACCTATTTGGTGGGAGTTCATTTTGGATATTTAAGTTTTGCTTTAATGAATGATTGTTTTTCTATGTTATTAATTGTTTTGTTTATGGATCTTAATGCCTTAAGGTTGTAGGAGCTATGAGAGTAGCCATTCCTTAGGAGATTACTAAGTGTTTGAGAGAATATCTAAGTAGCACATCCTTAGTATTCGAGAGAAACTAGGGAGTAACCACATAAGCAAGGAGTTCTAGATAGTAACTAGGCCTAATCCACCTTAGAGATAAGGCTAGGATTTCATTCGACTAAAAGGAGTTGTGCATGAGCGATATGTTAGATGTTAATGTTGCCGCAAAAAGGTATTGCCCATACATATCCTGTTATCTGGACCAATAGGATCCCTGCAGTAGCTAACGCCAATCGGTTTTGCCAAGGCATCTTCAATCTGTCGAGGCCCTTAACTAGAGATAGCATAGGGCACCCTTAGTAAACTCTGTCGGGCAGTTAAGACAAAGAAGTAAGACCATTCTGAGAAGTAAACTTAAATTTTCCTAAGTGACTCCTATCACTCATTCCCATAGTAGCTTGTCGTGTGAGGAGTCTAAAGTTCTTATAAGCAAATCCAGTATTTACAGTTTATTTTGTCTTTACATTTTCAGTTGTTTATACTCAGCACAATTCAATTTGCCATAACATATCCATCTGCTACCACCTTATCACCATTCTATTTTCGCAACATCCATCTCATTTTGCCACAGCATTGTCATTTGTTTATACCATTATTAACTTTACTTAGGTGACAAAGTAAACTGCCGTGACAAGTTTATTTGATTTCCCCCAATCCCTGTGGAGAACGATACTCACTCATCACTTTATTACTTGTTCGATTATGTATACTTGCACACATATCCGCATCATTTATAGTACTCATACCGAGCGGACAATATTCACCCAACCAAATCAATATTATAATATGTCAAGTAATGTTATATTTATGCTTAACAAATTAAACAAGTTATTACAACATTTATGTAATTTTACATCTATTTTTAACCGAACACTGTAAACTTATATTTCTATCTAATAAACCAGACAAGACGATATAACATTCCTAATGATATGTTTCAATATTCTATGAACGATGTCCCAAAATTTTAACAATAATTTTATGCAGCTTCGATATCTCAAGAATTGTATCATACTCGAACATAGAAATGATCATTTTAAGCTCAGAAATCACTCCCAAAATTAGGGGTAAGCGTTGGATTGAGTCAAGTCGAGTCAAAAAATTTCGAGTTATTTGAGTTGACGAGTTTTATTTTATAATTCGAAGTTGATTCAAGTCGAGTTTATAAAATTCGATTAGAGTCGAGTTGAAGTTTTGAGTTTCTATTTAAATTTA